GGGGGGGGGGGAAGGCTCAGCTCCCTGCATCCTGCTTTCCCTCTGGCCCTCCAGGCCTCCTGCTACCTGAAGCAGGGCAAGTACCAGGATGCAGAGACCCTGTACAAGGAGATCCTCACTCGTGCTCATGAAAAGGAGTTTGGCTCTGTCAATGGTGAGTCTATGGCTGCCATGTGCCCCCACCTCACGCAGCGCAGGCTCACTCAGCCATCAACCCCCACAGCAGCCAGGCACGCCCTGGTGCCTGGAGTCTGATTGGTCCCCAGCACTCGTGTGCACACGTGAGCATGTACACACACCTCCTGCGCCCTGCCTGTGCCATGCACAGCTTTTGCATACCCCATGCCTTTGGCCCAGTCTTCCCCCATTCTCTATTGGGCAACTTCTGCTTACCATGAAGGCCCAGCCTAAATGTCATCTCCTCCAAGAAGCTACCTCTGGCCCCTGATGGTCAGTCATTTCCTGCTCTGGGATCCTTCAACCTGGTCCATCATTCAGGCTCAGACATGTCTTAGGTTGTGGGCCTGAGATGTCTAAGGATCTGCTCCCCCAAGCCCCTCAAGCACAAGCCTGTGCCACAGTCATCTGTTCATTCATTCAAGAAAGCCCAACCCTGGTCCTTCCTGGCTACCCCCCCCAGACCCCAGTTCTATGTTCAGCTCAACCAGGAGAGGCCTATGTGGGAGGCTGGTGACAGCCCCTTTCTCTCCCCAGGGGACAACAAGCCCATCTGGATGCATGCAGAGGAGCGGGAGGAGAGCAAGGTAGCAAGCACTGTGGGGCAGGGCTGGGGTGGGTGTCCAGGGAAGGAGGGTGAAGCTGGGGTGTGTAGAGGGGAGGGCCTTCTCTTCCCACCTCCCCTGACTGTTCTTTCCCCCAGGATAAGCGCCAGGATAGCACCGCCTATGGGGAATATGGCAGCTGGTACAAGGCCTGTAAAGTAGACAGGTGAGGACGGCGGGGCTGGTGGTAGAGTAGGTAGCAGAGAAACAGTATCCTGGGTGGGGGCTGTGGCTGGGCTGCACAATTCATACTGCTAACCCCCAGGACCACACCTCTTCTCTCTCAGCTTGTCTTTTAAGGCCTGGCTCACAGGCCACCTATCCAAAATGGCTTTCTGTACTGGGGAAGCTTGATGATTTCATTCTTGGGTCTCCCAGCTTTTTTTTTTCTTTNACCAAATATTTGGGGATTCAAAGTAGGACTGTTTAGGGATAAAAATAAGACTCTTTGGGGATACTAATAACACTGAGATACTAGGCACAAATGTAGATTGTCTCAGACAATCTGATATACCTTAAATAAGTCCTTCTAGCTAAAAAACCTATCCAATTTGGGATATAAATTTTAATAATCCAAATAAAATGTTTAGTTAAGATGAAGTAAAGAAAATACAAGGGACCCAGAATAACTGAACCATTATTCTAAAAGAACAAAGTTGAAGGGCTCATTTTCTGATTTCAGACAAAATATAGCAATCAAGACAGTGTGGTGCTGGCATAAGGATATCCATATACACCAATGAAATAGATTCAAGAGTCCGTGAATAAATCCTTACCTTTATGGTTAATTAATTCCAACAAGGGTGCCAAGACAATTCAATGAAAAAGCAATAGTTTTCCCAATAAATGGTGCTAGAACAAATGGACATTCACATTTAAAATAATGAAATTGGACCTCTCTCTCACACCATATTTTAAAAATTAACTCCAATTGACCAAAGATCTAACTGTAAGAGCTAAATTATAAAACTCTTAAAAGAAAACATAGAGGGAATTTTTTTGTGACTTTGGATTAGTCAATGGTTTCTTAGAACGCTTTCAGGAGAAACTGGCCTAGTCAACACCTTGATATTGGACTTGCATCCCCCAGAAATGTGAGAAAATGAAATTTTGTTCTTTAAGCCACCCCACCTATATTATGTCAGCCTTGGCAGACTAATAAAAGCACTAAAAAATTCTAGAGCAATTCATCACCTCAAAAGAAACTACATACCATTAGTTCACTCTATCCCTCGCCTCTCCCAACTCTTTTGAACTTCTGACATTCAGAACTGTAAGATGATTAACTGGCTTGTTTTTTCATCTTTGGTTGTTTTTTTTTAAATCCTCACCCTAGGATATGTTTTTGTTATTGATTTTAGAGAAAGAAAAGGAGGGGAGGAGAGAGAAACATCAATTTGTTTCACTTCTTTATGCATTCATTGGTTGATTTGTGTATGTGCCCTGACTGGGGATTGAATCAACCTTGGCATATCAGGACGACACTCTAACCAACTGAGCTACCCAGCCAGGGCTTGGGTCTCCTAGCTTTTACTCCTAGTGGCAATATCCCACTTAGGGTCCTGGGGCCAGGTCCCCAGCCCTGGGGTGATTCCAAGAAAGGAGAGTGCAGCTGGGCCTCCTAGCACAGGGCTTGACACCTAGGAGGGGTGCAATCCTGGTTGGCTGAATGGTTTCTTACAGCCCAGTATGGGCTGTATGCCAGGATAGGCCCTGGTTCCTGGAGAACACAGAATTTGAGACTGTGCTGCTGTCCTGTCCACAGCCCTACAGTCAACACTACCCTGCGCAGCTTGGGGGCCCTGTACCGGCGCCAGGGCAAGCTAGAAGCTGCACATACACTGGAAGACTGTGCCAGCCGCAGCCGCAAGCAGGTGGGGCGACAGGCATGAGGGCTGGGGCAGGGACCTGGTTGGTCCTGTGTTTTCCAATCAGAACTTGTTGCTCCACCTAATGTGCCCTCTACTTCCTTAGGGCCTGGACCCTGCAAGCCAGACCAAGGTGGTGGAATTGCTGAAAGATGGCAGTGGTGGGCGGGGAGACCGCCGTGGCAGCCGAGATGTGGCCGGGGGTGCTGGGGCTCGGTCTGAGTCTGACCTTGAGGAGGCAGGGCCTGCAGCTGAGTGGAGCGGGGTGAGTCTAGGGGTTGGGGCGGGCCAGGAGGCTGTGTAGCCAGCATGACAGAGACAAACCTGTCCACCCCACAGGATGGCAGTGGCTCCTTACGGCGCAGCGGCTCCTTTGGGAAGCTCCGAGATGCTCTGAGGCGCAGCAGTGAGATGCTGGTGAAGAAGCTGCAGGGTGGTGGCCCCCAGGAACCCCCTAACCCCAGGTCAGCCTCTGCCCCAATAAGCCTACCACCCAGGGTGAGCCTCAGGAACCCACCCAATGGCCTCAAATGAGCTCCTGACCCAGGGTGAACTCCCTCATCTCTGTCCAGCTTCACCACCCACCAAATCTGTTGTTCCCCTCTCATCACCCTCCCTCCCAACCCCAACCTGACCCCCTTTTCCATCCTCCCCCATACCACCATGGGCACATCCTGCCTTCGTTTCCCTCAGGATGAAGCGGGCCAGTTCTCTCAACTTCCTCAACAAGAGTGTGGAAGAGCAAGCCCAGGTATGGTGGGTGGAGGCCCAGGCCCCAGGGCTGGAAGCTTGCATGTCCTGTGTACCTGTGGAGTTTCTCAAGCATGTCTTCATCCAGCAGCATTTCCTGTCTCTGTCCCAGGCCTGGCTTTGGGCTGGACACTGGGGAGACAAATTAGGGAAACCCAGCCCCTGCCTGGGTGGATATGCAAGTGGCCAGTGCTTACACAGTCACTATGGAGGTGGGCAGGAGTGTCAAGTACTGGGGCGGGGCATGAGTGGGGCTTAGAGATTCTTGCTGGCCACACCCCTTCCCCTTGGGGCCAAGTAAGCCGACTGGCAGCAGCAGGAGGCTAAGCCACCTGCCCCCTCTGCCCACAGCCTGGAGGCACAGGCCTCTCTGACAGCCGCACCCTCAGCTCCAGCTCCATGGACCTCTCCCGAAGAAGCTCCCTGGTGGGCTAATACTGAAGGGGCAGACCGGTCGCCAGAGCCTCCCCCTGGGGCACTGCCCCCACCCCCAGCCCTGCGCATGGGCCTGCTGCTTGTCTTGCCTGTGTCTCCCAAGAACTCCTGTCTTTTCTGTTCAATCTCAGGGTAACCTCCTCCCTAGTCATCTCAGCCTGAGCCCTGGAGGCTGGGCCTGCCGGCTCCAGCTCTACCCCTTATTTATTCCTTCCAGCAGGGCCCCCTCTTCCCTAGGTTCAGGGCCAGTGAGAGAAGCTGGCTGGGGTCTTCCAGGTAGACTCAGTTGCCCACCATCCCCTGACCCTGGAGCCAAGAACACTAAGCACCTGCCCTCCTGTCAGCACCCCTGTCTTCCCCCGGCCGTTGCTTCTGTATATAGAGAAATAAGTTATTGGCCGCGCCCCTCCCCTCAGTCCATGGTACTGCCTGGGCCTCCCCTCACCCCGTCCTTCTCTAGTGGTACCGCCCAGGCCTTAATCACCCCCATTCCGCGCGGTGGTATCTCCCAGGCTCCACAACACATCTCGGGGATCTCTCCTTGGGTTCCCTGGGCCTTGTCGCGCTCCTCCTGTACTCTTAGGGGTGCGTCCTGCCCCGCCATTGCCCCATGCCCCAGGATGGAGAACCCTCCCTTTACCCGTCCCCTCACCGCTGGGCTCTGCCCTGCATCCCGGCCTTATGCACTGCCCCTCCTGTCCGACCCCGCCCAGGCACAGCCTGTCGAGCCATCCAGCCACGCCTCCCACGCCTGCAGCTTCTCTCGAGGGACAGTGATGTCTCCACTGTGGCAGGAGCTGCCCCAGTTGTGGGGTGAGGTGGTTGCTCTCTATTTTCAAATGTTGCTGTAGAAATAAAGATGGTTTGAATCTGAGCCGGGCTTGTTTTGGGGCTGAGGCCCAGGGCTCCCAGCGTCTAGGTTTGGGGTGGGTCGGGAAAGGCTGCGAATGAATGGGGGGGGAGGGGGAGGTTGCTCACGTCTAATCCCTCGCCCAGATATTCTGCTCCTATCCCATAATTGTTTGGGGGCCCCCAGGTTCGGGATCTAACAGTTTTCATCTCTGAGGTTTTAGAGACTGCGGGCTTTGATTGAGCTCTGCCCCTTACTAACCTGTGAGACCTTGAGCGAGTTACCAAAACTCGATTTTCCTATCTATAAAATGTGGATGACGACATCTTCCTCTGGGGCCTGTGGCTGTGAGTTGGGAACGCCAGCACCCGAAGAACCCTGGATAAATAAACTTTTACTGACATAACTCCGGGAGGCGGGAGGGTAGGGATAACTGCCTCTGTGAAAAGTCAACCCCAGCCCTAAATAGCGCTTCCTACTCGGGACGCCATGAGGCTCCCGCGCGCCTGGTCCTCAAGCCCAGGTGTGTCTAGAGTGAACTACAAGCCCCAAAAAGCAATGCGTGGTGGTGATGGGGAGAGGCTAGAAGGCTCGGCTCCTCGGCTTACGCCTGCGCAGCGGGGGGTGTTGGACAATCTATGGAGACTACAAGTTCCGAGAAGCAACGCGGCGAGGTCCCAGTCGGGACCGTTTGCGGCTGCGCGTCGCGGGCGGGGCCTCTGGGGCGGAGCGGCCACCATCTTGGAACGGGAGGCGGAGCAGAGCCGACTGGGAGCGACCGAGCGGGCCGCCGCTGCCGCCATGAACCCCGAATAGTGAGTGAGCCCCGCCCGCGCCGTCCGGCGTAGCCTCGATCCCGAATACAGGGCTGTATGCTTACCGAGGTTGTCCGGCCCGGGTCAGGACTGCGCGGCGCCCCCACATCCGGGTCCCTCTTCCGCTGACCTCCCCCCCTCACATCCGGGTCCTGCCCCTCCCCTGGGGGCCCCAGGACCCCTGCTCCACACCCCGAGTTCTTGCAGCCGGGGGCACCACTTGGAGCTGGAGGGACTGGCCCTACCAGGCCGTATGGGTCAGTTGAACCCGCAGCCCTGGCCTCTCCAGGCCTCAGTTTCCCCACCTGGTTGAAAGTGGCGATCTGGGTGCTGACAACGGTCTCAGCGTTATGGGTACCTCACCAGATGGTTCTTGGCCTCGGTCCAGACTCGGGCCCTTTAGGTCGCGTCGGAAATCCTTCTGCTCGTCCTATTCTCCCGGAATCCGGTTCCTGGGGCTCGCCCAGGGGCTGGTTAGACGCGGGAGGCCTCGAGGCGCTGCCGCAGGTCCTCCCGCTGCTGCTTTCCCCCTGCCTGAGTCTAGCTGCCCTGCCGCTCCAGCGACCGGCCCCTTCCCGCCCTCTCCGTATCTTTGCGCAGCCCTCAGCGCCACCGTCACACCCCTTCCCTTGGCTGTCACACTGTTGGTGAAGTTTAGATGAATGTAGCATTCGCTTCCCCCACTTCCAGTGGGATTCTTTTCCTCAGCCTCTCCTTCTGGTCACTCCCCCTAGGGGTAGGTGGCCCACATCTCTGTCCCAGACTTCTCATTGACTGTTTTCCCCAAGTGTCAGTTATCTTCTTCCTCCTCTGCCACTTCCTTTTTCTCCTCCAGATCCAACCTCAGGTTTCCTTGGGGAAGGGTGAGGTTCTGAGCTGGATTATAAGGGGGATTAGAGAATGGAACCGCCAGGCTCTCGCTGAGACTTTGGAGTTAAACCTGGTTTCCAGTCTTAAAGTTAACAGCTATGTAACTTAGGGCAAGTCACTTCCCTTCTCCGAACTCTGGTTTCCTCATTTTTTGGGAATAGCAACCCACTTCACTGGACTTAAGTGAGAGGAAGCGCTTGGAATACGTAGCACAGGGCTGGGCACAAGTAGGAGCTCAGTAATTTTAACTGCTGTCTATTATTATTGCGACCTCTTCTTAGAGGCTTCATACCACACTCTTTACATAGTCACTTAACAAGCTCTAGGCTGGGCTCTGGCTTCCATTTCTGGGGCCTCCCCTGCCAAGACAGGTACATAGTACAGGCAGGTTCCCTAAATAGTCCCTACTGGACTCCAGACTAAGGAGTCTGTCAGGAATCAGGGTAGGATACCCAGCTCTGTCACCTAACTTTTTGTGATCTCAGCAAGTCATGTCCCTCTTTGTGCCTCAGTTTCCTTCTCGGTAAAGTGGGAATTCATACTCAGGCCTTTGGGCCATCTGTGTTATAGGGGGTGATCTGCTCTCCCCCTCCCAGGACTTGTGGGTCACCTTAGTACTCTGAACTGAGGCATGCCTCAGTGTGGGAGACTGCTACAGCTATGACTCCAGGGTGATGGCAGTGGGCTCCCTACCTTCCCTCACACCTTCCCGTCCTTTCTCTCTAGTGACTACCTGTTTAAGCTGCTTTTGATTGGTGACTCGGGCGTGGGCAAGTCATGCCTGCTCCTGCGGTTTGCTGTGAGTAAGAAGTCTCCCATACATTCATCTGGGTTTCTGGCTGGTGGCCAGAGGGAGAAGGGGCAACCCAGAGCACAGTAGTTGCAAGACCTGGGGGACCAAGGATGAAGTTGCAGGACCTGCCAGCAATATAACTGACTGAACAAGGGCACATGGCTGGCAAATTGGGTGCAGTTAGGAACTTTGCTGGGGCAGGAAACTTGAGGGAGGTTTTCCAGTTGGGCCTCTGGTCTGTTCGCTCAGGCCATCTCACTGGCCCCCGATCTTCCAGGATGACACATACACAGAGAGCTACATCAGCACCATCGGGGTGGACTTCAAGATCCGAACCATTGAGCTGGATGGCAAAACCATCAAACTTCAGATCGTGAGTGTTGCTCTTCCCAAAGTCCCTGATGCAGAGACATCCACCATGGAAGGGGAGGGGCTCTGGGCATGTAGCCCAGGGCTGACCTGCCCTTCTCTCATGCTGTCTTATAGTGGGACACAGCTGGTCAGGAGCGGTTCCGGACCATCACTTCCAGCTACTACCGGGGGGCTCATGGCATCATTGTGGTGTACGACGTCACTGACCAGGTACTCCTGGGCTCACCTTCCCCAGCTCTGCTTTCTCAGCCTCAGGTCTTTGACTCTGGCTTCTTTTTACCCTTCCCATCCTCTCTTCCTGATGTGGCATGGAAAGAAGACTGGACTTGGACTCATTTCACCAAGAGGGAAATAGTGCAGAAACAGATCTTCCCAAGGCCCTGCTGCAGGGTCTTGGCAGAGCCAGGCCTCGTCCTTCCCCTCCAAACCTGCCACCTTATTTTAGCCCTTCCAGGCACCTATGTTTTGAAAAGGTTTAGTCAGTTGATTGGTTGCTGTGCTGGACCATGGCTTCCTGTGTGAAGACACTAGAGAAGCAATTAGAGAGCCTTAGGCAAGGAAGTGAGGGAGCCCTGCACTCTGGGCCCAGTGTGAGCAGAGGTCTGGGAGCCCGTGTCTGTTGTGGCAGCATTAGTCACATGTCTTTGGCAGCAATATGATGTTAACAACCAGAAATAGTCCCAGCATACCTTACAGTTGACAGAACCTGTCACAGTCTTTTGATGTTGTAACAGTCTAGAGGTCTGCATTGTGTTCCCATTTCACAGGTGAGATGGGTCAGAGTAGTGAAGAGACCAGCTCAGAGTCCTGCACCTGGTCACGTGGCAGACAGAAAGCCTACGTCTACTGATTCTACCTACTTTGTTCTTTCTGCCAAACCTTGTTGCTTAGTGGGGACCAGGTTCTGGGGACATGGAGATGCTTCCTTCAGCTTCAGGCCAGGAGGAGTCCCTGTCTGAGGGGCAGCTGGGCTCTTCGGCTCACCAGGGACTTGTGGTGGTACCTCCTGGACAAGCTGTGGGTGAACTGTGCTCCACTCAGACAAAGGTCACCAAGGACCTCTGAATGCCAAATACTGTGACCTCATTCCAGTTCTCGCCCAGATTGACCTCTCGTGGCTTTTAACTCTGTTCTCTTTCCTATCCTTAAAAAGTTGACTATCTGTAGCTCTCCCAGCTCCTGGTGCATTAGATTCTCTTTTCAGTGGCTTTTTACTGGTTCATCCTGTACTGTCCCCATAACCCCATAGTTTGTGCTTCCTGACCTTGCCCCAAGCCCCCTCCTGACTCTCCCTGCACAGTTTTGGCCACTTTGTGGTTTGGCTGCTGTCTGATATTCTGTGATACCTACTTCTAAACAGCTCTCACTGTAGATCTGTGTCCTGCGTCCCGCCGGTACTTTTTGTCTGCATTCTTATCTTCACAGCATTACCCAGTGGACTAAGGAGTGGGGTCCCCATTTTCCTGGGGAGAAAAGACGCTTGAAGAGGTGTTAAGTAACTTGCCCATGGTCTCACAGCCAGGAAAGGCAAAGCCAGTGTTTGAATCCAGGGTTCTTTGCTTTCAAGCACACCTTTCCTGCTCCCAGACAGCCTCTCCTGAGCTCCAGACCATCTACGGAACTCAGTGTATCCAGCTCTGGCCTCACCACCTCTCCCTGAACTAGCTCTTGGATCCCTGTTAGCCTGACCAGAAAACTCTTCCCTCCCCCAACCAGGGTCCGAGGTCCCCTCTGTCGTCCCCATCGTCTCTCAAATCTGTCTCTCCCTAATAATAGCAGTGATGGGATAATAGCTCCTTCTAATTAAGCGCTTGTTATGATTCAGGCCTACATTCATTATCTCATGCTCACCACAACCCCACTGGGAGGTACTGTTTTATAGAAGTGAGGAAACTGAGGCTCAGGTCAGGTGACATATCTAGGGTCACACAATCAATAGCAGAGCCTGGGCTTCACCCATGATGGTCTCACTGGACCCTGTGCTCTTCCCTGCCTCAATCCCTGGCTCAGGGCACAGCCTGTCTTCCCTGGATTATTCCAGCCACCTCCCAGTTGGTCTCCATCTTTTTGCCGCTCTGATCTGGCCTCTATACTGCTTCCAGGACTATCGTCGCAGAACACAGGTGTGCTCCTGACACTCCTTCCTAAGAAAACCACTGCTGGCTCCTAGTAGTC